TGCCCAGTAACAATGGTCAATGTATTAGGAACATTAAGAACACTGATCCTTCAGGAATAAAGGGTCATCTCACCAGGAAAAACTAAGGTACCATCAGTGAGTGAAGGGAATCTGCAATGAGTGGCAGCTTTTGTCATAAAGGCAATCACCAAGGTGGCAACTGTAGCAGCTATGAATATGTTACGTTAATCTCTATATTATTGAACATTATCAAATCAACTCTGTGGTGTATGTGTTTATACCTCTATTTAATATATGAGTACACTGAAGCTTAGAAAGATGGGCACCTAGTAACTCACAGAATCATCACTGAATCCATGCGTTATTATGAGACCCTTGTTCTTCTCTACCCCTCCCAACAATGGCTTATTCAGTGCCTGCAAGAAACACGAAGGGTCTGCAGGGATGTGAAGCAGTCATTTTCTGAGTGTCGGCAAATTCAGATACAGGTCTCCTTCATTTGTTGTGGTTGTTGTGGTTGTTGTTTTATTCTGTTTCCATTCTGCTTTCTGGGATTCTTCATGTTCCTGGAATCAAATCTGAGTACAGCAGTACAATATGAACCTTAGCTGTCACCTGATAGCCTTTCAATGAGCAAAAATTCTCTTAAGAGAACTGGAAATATCAAAGCATGAAGTGTTTTTCAGTTTTCTAAATCCATAATCAATATCAAGGAAAGTTCAACTGATGTTTTTACCTTACATTATAAGAGATAAAAATAAATAAAAAGACAGGATATCTGAGTTGGAATGTGTTGAGAATTCTAGCCTCTCCAAACTTCCTCCTCTTCTCTGAAGTTCATGGCTACATCCCTACCAGCTGCCCTACAGCGTCTGCTTAAACCGACAGGGCAGTCTGTTTTCTCTAGGATATCATTAAAATGAGGGTCTTCCCTGGACCTTTAACTCTCATGCACCTATGTCTATCTGTCACCACAAGCCAGTCACTTCACTCCATTTAGCTTCAGTGTCCTCCCCTGTAACACAAGTATGATAACCTCAAAGTCACCCAATGGTTGTGTGGCTTAAACAAAATATAACCTGACATAGCAGCATTATTGACAATAACCAAAAGGTAGAAACAACCTAAGTGTCCACAGATAAATACATAAACAAAATGTGGTATACATTTCCCCTCCTTTTGAAAAAGGTAGGAAATTCTACCACATGCTATAACATGGATGGACTTTGAGAACTTTGTGTAACTGTAATAAGTCAGTCGTAAATGAACAAATACATTATAATGCCACTTATGAGGCACCTAGAATAGTCAAATTAATAAAGAAAATAGAATGGTGGGTGCCAGGGGCTGTGGAGGAGGACAAAATGAGGAGTTGTTGTTTAATGAGTGTGGAATGTGGTTTAGGATGATAAAGTTCCGAAGGGCTGGGCACTGTGACTCATGCCTGTAATCCCAGCACTTTGGGAGGCCCAGGCGGGTGGATCACGATGTCAGGAGTTTGAGACTAGCCTGGCTAACGTGGTGAAACCCCATCTATACTAAAAGTACAAAAATTAGCCATGCATGGTGGTGGGCATCTGTAATTCCAGCTACTCAGGAGGCTGAGGCAGAATTGCTTACGCCTGGGAAGTGGAGGTTTCAGTGAGCCGAGATCGCGCCACTGCACTCCAGCCTGCATGACAGAGCAAGACTCCATCTTGGGAGGAGAAAAAAAAAAGTTCTGAAGATGAAGATGGACGGTGGTGGTAGCAGCACAATAATATGAGTATACCTAAAGCTGTTGAACTGCACACCTTAAAAATGGTTGAGGTGGCTCAGAGATAAAAGGATGGTTCAGCATACACATCAAACAAGGTGATACATCATATCAACAGAATGAAGGACAAAAACCATATGTTCATTTTAACTGATGCTGAAAAAGCATTTGGTAAAATTCAACATCACCATTAAAAAAAAAAAAAAGCTTGAAAAACCGAGTGTAGAAGAAATATACCTAAACATAATAAAAGCCATATATGACAGACCCACAGCTAATATCATACTGAATGGGGAAAAACTGAAAGCCTTTCCTCTAAGATCTGGAACAAAACAAGGATGCCCACTTTCACCACTGTTATTCAACATAGTACTGGAAGTCCTAGCTACAGCCATCAAACAAGAGAAGGAAATTAAGGGCTTCCACAATGGGAAGGAAGAAGTCAAATTATCCTTGATTTCAGATAATATGATCTTATATTTGGGAAAGTCTAAAGATTGTCATTTCTAATAGTTTTTTGAGGAAACAAATTCAGAAAACTTGTAGAATACAAAATCAACATACAAAAATCAGTAGCATTTCTACATGCCAGGAGCGAATAATCTGAAAAGAAAATAAAAGTAATCTCATTTACAATAGCTACAAGTAAAATTAAATACCTAGGAATAAACTTAACCAAAAAAGTGAAACATCTCTATAATGAAAGCTAGAAAAACATTAATGCAAGATGTTGAAGAGGACTCAGAGTTTTAAAAAAAAAAAATTCCACGTTCATGGATTGGAAGAATCACTATTGTTAAACTGTCCATAATACCGAAAGTAATCTACAGATTCAATGCAATCCCTATCAAAATATCAATGACATTCCTCACAGAAATAGAAAAAAAAAATTCTAAAACTTATATGGAATTACAAAAGACCGAGAATAGTCAAAGCTATCCTGAGCAAAAAGAACAAAACTAGAGGAATCACATTATCTGACTTCAAATTATACTATAGAGCTATAGTAAACAAAACATCACCGTAATGCCATTTAAAAAGACACATAGACCAATAGAAAAGAATAGAGAACCCAGAAACGAATCCACACATCTACAGTGAACTCACTTTCAACAAAGGTGCCAAGAACATACAATGAGGAAAGGACAGTCTCTTCAATAAATGCTGCTGGGAAAACTAGATATCCACATGCAGAAGAATGAAACTACAACCCTGTCTCTTACTATATACAAAACTCAAATCAAAATGGATTAAAGACTTAAATCTAAGGCCTCAAACTATTAAACTACTACAAGAAAACACTGGGGAAACTCTCCAGGACATTGGACTGGGCAAAGATTTCTTTCAAATATCGCATAAGCACAGGCAACCAAAGCAAAACTGGACAAATGAGATCACATCAAGTTAAAAAGCTTCTACACAGCAAAGGAAACAATGAAGTGGAGTGACAACCCACAGAATTGGAGTAAATATTTGCAAACTATCCATCTGACAAGAGATTAATAATCATAATATATAAGGAACTCAACTCTATAGGAAAAAAATACAATAATCTGATTCAAAAATGGACAAAAGATCTGAACAGACATTTCTCACAAGAAGACATACAAGTGGCAAATGGGTATATGAAAATGTGCTCAACACCACTGATCATCAGAGAAACGCAAATCAAAACTACAATGAGATATTATTTCACCTCAGTTAAAATGACTTTTATCCAAAAGAAGGGCAATAACAAATGCTGGCAAGGATATGTAGAAAAGGGAACCCTCATACACTGTAAATGGGAATGGAAATTAGTACAATCACTAAAGCGAACAGTTTGAAGGTTCCTCAAAAAACAATTAAAAATAGAGCTACCATATGATCTAGCAATCCTATTGGATACTGCTAGATATATACCCAGAAGAAATACTGTTAGATATATACCCAAGAGAAAGGAAATCAGTATATCAAAGAGATATCTGCACTCCCATGTTTACTGCAGCACTATTCACAGTAGCCAAGATTTGGAAGCAATATAAGTGTCCATCAACAGATAAATGGATAAGGAAAGTATGGTACACATACACAATGGAGTACTCTTCAGCCATAAAAAGAAGAAATTTTCATTTGCTACAAGATGGATGGAATTGGGGATTATTATGTTAGGTAAAATAAACCAAGCACAGGCAAACAAACAAACAGTTATGTTCTCACTTGTTTGTGGAAGCTAAAAATTAAAACAATTGAATTCATTAAGATAGAGAGGATGATGGTTACCAAAGTCTGGGAAGGGTAGTGGGGCAAGGGTGCAGGGGATGATTAATGGGTTCAAAAATACATGACATAGAATGAATAAGATCTAGTGTTTTATAGCATAACAAGATGAATAGAGTCAATAATTTATCATTTTAAAAAACTAAAAGCATGTAATTGGATTGTATATAACACAAATGATAAATGCTTGAGGTGATGGACAGATACCCCACTTACCCTGATGTGATTATTACGGATTGTATGCTCTACCTGCATCAAAATATCTCATGTACCCCATAAATATATACACCTACTATAGACACACAAAATTGAAAATTAAAAAATTACTTTGGTAAATTTTATATTCTGTATGTTTTACGATTAAAAATAAAAATAATATAACCTGAGAATGTCCCTAGCTCAGTGACAAGAACACAGTTGGTTGTCAAATGTCAATTCCCTTCTCACCACTCACTGGTGGGACACTTACCTTGGGGTCATGTGAAATAAATCACTCACCTGCAAGTGTTAAAAAAATATTAGTCACATCAGTCACATGAAAATAATTAGCTTCTGGAAGTAAGCAGATGGTGGCACGCGAGGAAGAGCACCGGCCACTCCTCTGCATCAGAAACTTCCTTAAAAGCAGCTTCCAGACATGGACATAGCATCTAGGTGTGGGGTGATGACCAGTGTCAAAGAAAGTAGCCCGGACTCCCCCGTCATGTAGATATTTTACCAAACCGGATAATGAAGACATGGGAGGGAGCGCGCACCCAGGACCACGGGCTACTGAGTTTCCACTCCTTACCAGTCTCAGAGAAGCCCCCTGGGCGTCCAGAGCCTCTGAAGCCTCCCCCAGTCCAACTCTGACTTCTCTCCTCTCACCTCTCTACCTTCTCTCCTCCCACCTCTCTTGCTTCTCAGCCGCATTTCTCCACACAAGGCTTTCAAGGCTCTGCTCCTCCCACTGCTCCTCCCTCACTCCTCCCACGGCTCCTCCTCCTCCCTCCCCTTTCCTCTCAGACTTGCCTCTGAGCGGAAACTGAAAGTGAAATAGGGAGCTGGCTACCAGCGTTGAGTCCCCTGTAAAGGTGAGTGAACCCCACTAGATCAAGGGACCCCTGCCCTCCTAGGGGACCTCTCTCCCCTGCCCCAGGGTTGCCCAGCCCCTTCAACCAGTCTCCATCCTTGAGCCGGTCCCATTTGCCCCTTCTCCCACCAGGGATCCCTCAACCCAAGACCAGCTGTGCTTCCGGCGCTGGCCCCCTACCTGGGAGGAGGCTGGGGTGTGGACATGACTGCCGAGTTACCCAGAAGGGGAAGGGACCCGGCTGCCCCCTACCTGGGAGGAGGCTGGGTTGTGGACGTGACTGCCGAGTTACCCAGAAGGGGAAGGGGCCCGGCTGCCCCGATGCTGGCACGTGACCTGGGATGAAGGCTGGGTGCGGCTGGGAGAGCCAGGACTACAGCCTAGCCAGGACGGGTAGGGAGCTCATGTCGGGGAGGTCTGCAATTCTGGAGATTCCCAGGTCCAAAAGTCCTCCAGAGGTGAGAGGGGAAGGCTGTTTAGGATGTTCAACCAGAAATGTATAGGCCTTCAAAATTATTCTTTGCCCTAGAATAAGTGTTGTCAGGAACTAAACTAAGTTTGGAGCAGCTGAGAAAAGAGCCCAGGGAGTGCTGGCCACAGTTCCTGTTGCTCTGTGTGTATACATACATATACACATGCTTGTGTATATACATATACACCTACATACCTATATACACCTGACATCTGCTGTTATAGGAAGTATTAATGAAGATATATTCAAAGCATGAAGTATGTCTGGCACATGGAAGGTACATGGTAAAAAGTAGCTATAATTTCTCAGCAGCATGGAGGCCTGTTGGTACCAGACAGGAGATGAATGAGCACTGAGGGTTTAAGCAGGAATGGACATGATGAGAGTAGAACTGTCAACAGCTTTATGAGGTTCTTGCCAATTTTCACTCCCTCTTTTAGGGACTTAGTGTCTCCTTCTGTCTCACTGGATCAATGGACCAACAATGGAGGAGTTCTTGTTATTCAGAACAAGAATAAACTTACTCAACAAACTATTTGATCGGTGTAAAAGTAATTACTGTTTTTGACATTAATTGTTTTGCCATTAATTTTATGCCTTTTATTTATTTATTTATTTATTTATTTATTGAGAGGAAGTCTCACTCTGTTGCCCAGGCTGGAGTGCAATGGCAGAATCTCGGCTCACTGTAACCTCTGCCTCCCAGGTTTAAGCAATTCTGCTACCTCAGCCTCCTGAGTAGCTGGGATTACAAGCGCCCACCACCACTCCCAGCTAATTTTTGTATCTTTCGTAGAGACGGAGTTTTACCATATTGGTCAGGCTGGTCTTGAACTGAACTCCTGACCTAAGGTGATCCACCCACCTCAGCCTCCCAAAGTGCTGGGGTTGCAGGTATGAGCCGCCGTGCCTGACTCATTATTTTTATTTTTCTTTTTTATTTTCCTTTGTGTCATTTTGTTTTTCTTCTTTTTTTAGTTTATTTTTAACTTTTGTGGGCACATAGTAGGTATATTTATGGGGTATATGGAATATTTTGATACAGGTATACAATGTGTCATAATCACATCCGGGTAAATAGGGCATCCATCACCTCAAGCATTGATCATCTGTGATACAAACTATGCAATTATACTCTTAGTTTTCAGTGTACAATTAAATTATTGACTATAGTCACTCTATCGTGCTATCAAATACTAGATCTAATTCACTCCACTTTTGTACTCATTAACCATCCCACCTTCCCCAACACACACACACCCTCCCTGCTACTCTTCCCAGCCTCTGGTAACCATCTTTCTATTTTATCTAACTCCATGAGTTCAATTGTTTTAATTTTTAGCTTCTACAAATGAGTGAGAACATACAATGTTTGTCTTTTGGTGCCTAGCTTATTTCACTTAACATAATGACCTCCAGTTCCATTCATGTTGTTGTGAATGACAGGATCTCATTATATTTTATGACTGAATAGTACTCCATTGTGCATATGTACCACATTTTCTTTATCCATTTATCTGTTGATGGACACTTAGATTGCTTCCAAATCTTGGCTATTGTGAAACATGCTGCAGTAAACGTGGGAATGTAGATATCTCTTTGATATACTGATTTCCTTTCTTTGGGGTATATACTAGCAGTGGGATTGCTGGATCATATGGTAGCCCTATTTTCAGTTTTTTGAAGAACCTCCAAACTGTTCCCTGTAGTGATTGTACTAATTTACCTTCCTACCAATAGCGCGTGAGTGTACCCTTTTCTCCACACCCTCCCCAGCATTTGTTATAGCCTGTCTTTTGGATAAAAGGCATTTTAACTGAGATGAGATTATATCTCATTGTAGTTTTGATTTGCATTTTTCCGATAATGATGTTGAACAACTGTTCATATGCCTGTTTGTCATTTGTGTGTCTTCTTTTGAGAAATGTCTATTCAGATCTTTTGTCCATTTTTGAATCAGATTATTATTTTTTTTCCTATAGAGTGGTTTGAGTTCCTTATATATTCTGGTTATTCACCTTTTGTCAGATGGATAGTTTGCAAATTTTTACTCCAATTCTGTGGGTTGTCTCTTCACTTTGTGGATTGTTTCCTTTGCTGTGCAGCGCCTTTTCAACATGATGTGATCCCATTTGTCCAAGTTTGCTTTGGCTGCCTGTGCTTGTGGGGTATTTGAAAGAAATCTTTGCCCAGTCCAATGTCCTGGAGAGTTTTCCCAATGTTTTCTTGTAATAGTTTAATAGTTTGAGCCCTTAGATTTAAGTCTTTAATCCATTTTGATTTGATTTCTGTATATGGTGAGATATAGGGGTGTAGTTTCATTCTTCTGCACGTGGATATCCAGTTTTCCCAGCAGCATTTTTTGAAGAGACTGTCCTTTCCTCATTGTATGTTCTTGGTACCTTTGTTGAAAATGAGCTCACTGTGGATGTACGGATTTGTTCTGGGTTCTTTATTCTACTGGTCTATGTGTCTGTTTTTATGCCAGTACCATGCTGTTTGGGTTACTTTAGCTCTACAGTATAATTTGACATCAGATGATGTGATTCCTCCAGTTTTGTTCTTTTTGCTCAGGATAGCTTTGGCTATTCTGAGTCTTTTGTAATTCCATATAAATTTTAGGATTTTTTTTCCTATTTTTGTGAAGAATGTCATTGGTATTTTGATAGGGATTATGTTGACTTTTTGTTTTTCTTACACAGACTTTCTCATATTTTCTTTTCCCTTTCTTTTTCCTCCCAGCCAGCCCTACTAAAGGGCTTAACAGTACGCTTGACAATGGCTTCAGCAGCACGCTTGACAATGATGTGGGAGGAGGTCACGTGCCCTATCTGCCTGGACCCCTTCGTGGAGCCTGTGAGCATCGAGTGTGGCCACAGCTTCTGCCAGGAATGCATCTCTCAGGTTGGGAAAGATGGGGGCAGCGTCTGTCCTGTGTGCCGGCAGCACTTTCTGCTCAGGAATCTCCGCCCCAATCGACAACTAGCCAACATGGTGGACAACCTTAGAGAAATCAGCCAGGAAGCCAGAGAGGGTGCACAGGAGGAACAGTGTGCAGTGCATGGAGAGAGACTTCACCTGTTCTGTGAGAAAGATGGGAAGGCCCTTTGCTGGGTGTGTGCCCAATCTCGGAAACACCGTGACCACACCATGGTCCCTCTTGAGGAGGCTGCACAGGAGTACCAGGTGAGGCCTTAGAGACACAAACAGGAGGAAAGAAGATGGGCCCTGGTGAGTGCTTTGCTTTCAGAGCAGGGAATGGGAGAGGACCACCTCTGGATTGGAGAAGTTAGAGAAAGGAGGAGTTTACCTCTCTCCATGTCTAATGTAGAAGGAGAATTATAAGCTAAACCCAACCTCATTCTCCAGGCGTAGGCGATATGCATGAGAAAATGCTGCAAGGATTACCCCACCCTATTACTTGGTTTGCATGGGGACTAATATGCTGTCTTTCTCTGCAGGAGAAGCTCCAGGTGGCATTAGGGGAACTGAGAAGAAAGCAGGAGTTGGCTGAGAAGTTGGAAGTGGAAATTGCAATGAAGAGAGCAGACTGGAAGGCAAGAATGACATCCTGAAGGGGATCTTAGGCTAGAAGGTTGGGCAGGGTCCAGGGTCCTCAACTCACAGCCTTAACTGTAGCTGTGCCTGTCTGAGCTGTGATAGAGTTGGTCCGTCTCACTCTCCAGAAAGCAGCTGCTCTCTAGGTTTACAGATAGATGGGAATAAAAATGATGCAGGTTCAAAGGGGAGCTCCCCATCAGGCCTGAAGATCAAGAATCCTGGAAGAAGGTGCTGAGAGGATCTAGCTATACCCTAAAGTTTTGAGCTCCTCTGAGTCTAGTCTCAGAGGTGTGACGGCATCAGCACCTGGATGTCTGAGACAAATATCCTAGGAGAAACCCAACTGCTAGCTAAGCCTTTCAGGAAATGACAAGGCTGTGAGGAATAGACTTAAGGAAACCATCTGACCAGGTGGTTACTTGACCATGACCAGATCTCTGGTCCCAAATATAATGAAGAATCCATGTTTGTTCTGCACTGATCATTTCCAAGGAGACGTGGAGCATGTTGGGGATGAGAGGGGAGAGGAAGGAGCCCATCCCCAGTAGATCCCAGAAAAGAAACATTTGGGATTGAGGTAGGGTGTGAGTTGGGTTGTGGTGACAAAACAGACCCTCATGTCATCGAGTGACCTTCCAGTTACTAACAGGAGATGAAAAGCAAAGAATGTCCCCAAGCCCCCTTTCCCAGGACTTGGAGGTGGTGGTGTCAGCCTGGCTTTGTGAGGTTGTTGGAGGTGGGAACAGGTGTTTTTTTTCTCAGTAACTCACTGAGACAGGAAGACACAGGGGCACATTTGAGTGGTGACTGGGTTTGGAAGAGAGGTTGGAAAAAGTCCCCAATGCCGTATATCCGTGTAGCTGTGGTTGTAGGCCAGCTACAATGTGCCCTCACCAAGTCCATTCCCCTCACTGTCCCGGAAACTTCACCTACCTCCCAAGCAAAATTGTGTGTGTGTGTGTGTGCACATGCTTGTGTGTGTGTGCGTGTGTTTTCCCAGACAACACCAGAGTGGAGTCTTTGGGGAATAGGAATAGGTACCAATACCTCCATTCCCAAAGTTTGGGAGCTTTTCATAAAAACCACCTCTCTCTTTCCCTTGACACTAAAGAAAACGGTGGAGACACAGAAATGTAGGATTCACGCAGAGTTTGTGCAGCAAAAAAACTTCCTGGTTGAAGAAGAACAGAGGCAGCTGCAGGAGCTGGAGAAGGATGAGAGGGAGCAGCTGAGAATCCTAGGGGAGAAAGAGGCCGAACTGGCCCAACAGAGCCAGGCCCTGCAGGAGCTCATCTCAGAGCTAGAGAGAAGGCGCCAGGGCTCAGCACTGGAACTGCTGCAGGTAAGACAGGGAGGGGTTCCCTTCTACTATTCCGGGAATAACTGAAAAAGACCAGAGCTATCTGGAACTGCCATTCGAATAAATGGACACCTGGTCCCTGGAATGTTCTTAAATAAAGTAGAATTCAAACCCACGAATGGTTTGCATTCAAGGCACAAAGTAAAGATGAAAATAAGTATAGGACCTTTTTAAAAATCAATGTATGTTGCACTTAGAATCATCTTGCATCCACCAATGATATGTTTGCCTCACTGTACGAAATGATGGACTAGATCGTCTCACAAGTCCCTTCTGTTCTAACATTCTACAGTTCTTTCTTCACCCCTGTTCACTGTGACTCAGCGTGGTCATGAGCCATTGCTTTCTGGTGTGTGCAGAAAACCTAATTGTATTGGGTTGACTTGACAGGCTCTCTTCTGCCCAAACCAGGCTTTCTTATTTATTTATTTATTTATTTATTTATTTATTATTTATTTATTTATTTATTTTGAGATGGAGTTTCACTCTTGTTGCCCGGGCTGGAGTACAATGGCGCGGTCTTGCCTCACTGCAACCTCCACCTCCCGGGTTCAAGCGATTCTCCTGCCTCAGCCTTACATCACCACACCTGGCTAATTTTGCATCCCTAGTAGAGATGGGGTTTCTCCATGTTGGTCAGGCTGGTCTTGAACTCCCAACCTCAGACTCCCACCTCAGCCTCCCAAAGTGCTGGGATTACAGGTGTGAGCCACCATGCCTGGCCATGAACCAGGCTTTCTAACATACTTTTAACTGAGTCTAGGATCCTGCTAGCTCCCATGTAATGGCTCCCAATCCCTATAACAAAAATATTTTCAGTGATTTGGTTTCACATACAGGAAGGGGCAACATTAAGTACCCAAGGGAACTTTAACTAACCAACCTTTCCTTCCCAAGCAATGCTAGCCCACAAATGGAACAGAGCAGTTTCTAGACACCTGAACTTGGCCATTCTCTGCCTGTGATTGGGCTTAAGCCAAGCTGGGCTATGTGCCCTCTCTGCCCTCCTTTCTTTCTCCCCTGGGGGAAAAAAATCTGGTCTTTGAGTCAGAGTCCTCAAACTGATAATCCTTCCCCAGCTGCAGGTCACATCCATGCTGGGCTTCTGGTTACCTCACAAGCATCCACACATCCTTTCTGCCTCAAGCTGGTCAGAATCATCTTTGGGGCTTTGGACCAGAGGAAGGAAAGGAACAGTTCCCCAGGGACCACAGATGGATCACATCACCCACAGGGCTAATGTCTCAGTGGCAATCCAGCAATCCAGAACTTACTCTGTGTCTCTTTTCTCCTCAGGAGGTGATAATTGTCCTGGAAAGGTAAGGAGGAGTTTTCTTTTTTAGAAGAGGGGCCAGCAGAAAGCATATATGCCTATGACAAAGGTTATTGAATTAGAAATACATGCACTGAAGTTTTCCCCATCTGGCTTCCTATTCTCAAAGACTTCATTGTCTATAAAATATTTTCTGGTCTCAGAAAGCTAATAAGTGGACATCTTAGCTGGTGATTGCCCACAGTAGTTGGATCGTAACATCTTCACACAGTAAAGCCCTGCCAAACAGGGAAATCCTGGGAAGTTCTGGGTCTTTCCAGAATTCAGACTACTGGAGCATGGCCAGCTGGAACTCCTTTTCTCAGTGGAATCTAACAAGTTACCTCCCAAAAAGAGCCATGAGTCAGACCCACAGTGTGGGCAAGACTCCTTGAGGTTCCTTGCAGAAGTGATTCAGCCTGTCTCAGATGGATTGCCTATAAAATGAAATTGAATGCATTTGCCAGGTGACCTCAGGCTTAGAGAGGAGAGACAGACTGTCCACATGCTGCAGCCTATAACCAGGAACTCCTGGGTAGAAACTAAATCCTGCATTGTTTGCCTCTCACACCCACCCCTGAAGACTTGAACACCAGAAGTGTTTGTAAATTTGAGTTGAATTAAATTATCAGAGTCCTCCACAATGGAGGTTATAGTGTTAGGGTTTGGGATAGGAGTAAGGGACAGGAGTCTCAAACTCTCTTTCCCCCAGGAGTGAGTCCTGGAACCTGAAGGGCCTGGATATTGCCTCTCCAGAACTCAGGAGTGTGTGCCATGTGCCAGGGCTGAAGAAGATGCTGAGGACATGTGCAGGTGAGGCAAGCTCTAGGAATTTTGCGGGGGATAATGGGGGTGCAGAGTAGATCCCAGGGTCAGGGAGCCTGGATGGCAACTTGGAGGAGAGATGGAAGGTCAGAGCAGGGGGAGCAGAGATGGAGGTAAGGAAGATGGTTTCTTCAAAGGTCAGGACCAAGGCAAGAACTGGCTGATGGTCATTTCCTCACACAGGGAGGTTGACCCCTCATGCTTGCCCAAAATCCCCCCACCACAGGCACAGAGTTAGTGACTCCCCCCATGCAAGACATGACTATGGTCCTCTCTCTGCAGTCCACATCACTCTGGATCCAGACACAGCCAATCCATGGCTCATACTTTCAGAAGATCGGAGACAAGTGAGGCTTGGAGACACCCAGCAGAGCATACCTGGAAATGAAGAGAGATTTGATAGTTATCCTATGGTCCTGGGTGCCCAGCACTTCCACTCTGGAAAACATTACTGGGAGGTAGATGTGACAGGAAAGGAGGCCTGGGACCTGGGTGTCTGCAGAGACTCTGTGCGCAGGAAGGGGCACTTTTTGCTTAGTTCCAAGAGTGGCTTCTGGACAATTTGGTTGTGGAACAAACAAAAATATGAGGCTGGCACCTACCCCCAGACCCCCCTCCACCTTCAGGTGCCTCCATGCCAAATTGGGATTTTCCTGGACTATGAGGCCGGCATGGTCTCCTTCTACAACATCACTGACCATGGCTCCCTCATCTACTCCTTCTCTGAATGTGCCTTTACAGGACCTCTGCGGCCCTTCTTCAGTCCTGGTTTCAATGACGGAGGAAGAAACACAGCCCCTCTAACCCTCTGTCCACTGAATATTGGATCACAAGGATCCACTGACTATTGATGGCTTTCTCTGGACACTGCCATTCTCCCCATTGGCACCACTTCTCAGCCACAAACCCTGCCTATTTTCCCCATGAACTCTGAACCACCTTTCTCTCTGCAGAGGCATCTGGATCCCAGCAAGCGAGCTTTAGCAGGGAAGTCACTTCATCATCAACATTCCTGCCCCAGATGGCTTTGTGATTCCCTCCTTATATTTGGCCCAAACTCATCTTGATCAACCAAAAACGTGTTTCTGCCTTCTTTATGGGACTTAAGTTTTGTTTTCTCCTCTCCATCTCTAGGGTGTCATCTTTGATGAGATCTCTATTATATCTTGTATGGTTTGCAAAAAGACTTCCTAAAAGTAAAAAATAAAATTTAAAAAACCGTGTCTCAGTCTATCTCATTCAGTCCTCGTTCCTTAATCCTGAAATACTTGATAACTCTGAATATGATTAATAGTAACGTGTCTTTAACATTGCACGTTTTTTTCCTGCCTGGGCTGTCCCCTCTTCTCCATTTGAAATATTTGATCTTGGACTGAAGACCCAGGTCAAGAATCTTCTGTACTTCCCCATTACAGCCTTCCCCATCATAGCCGCTGTGGTGATAGAAGGCCATCTGGGCTCTGATCGCTGCCTGAGGGGATATTACCTCCTTACCATGATGGAACACCTGCTTTTGAAATACAAAGTTCTCCTAGGGTTGGGGTAGCTCTGTGGACCTCTGCATCTCTGACCCTCACGGACCTGAAGCACCTTCTGTCCATGTTCTCAGTAAGTGACGAGTGATAACATCAAAGTTCCTGGAGCTCTCTGTCCCTGCAAGGTCAAGGCTGGGCTGCCCTATGCTTTCAGTATTCTTCTAGAAAACTGGCCAACTCCTGTGCCCCTTGGAATATCCAATTTTAATGATATTTCTCTCTGGAATGCGTCTTTCTTGGGCAAAGTTTTCTGACTAATGCTCACCTGCTACTCACCTGTTGTGTGGCCCGGTTCCTAACAAGCCATGGACCTGTACCAGTCCACGGCCAGGGGGTTGGGGCTCCTGTTCTTAATGATCAGGAATGTGTAGTTTTTTACATTTTTTATTGACATATATGTGCATTCAGAAAAGTGCACATAGCATTCACATCAATGATTCTTTTTGTAAAAAGTTGAATGGAATCCTGTAATAGAACCCATACAGAACCAGAACATTCCCAGCACCCCAGCAGATCCAGATGAGCTCCCTTCAAGTCACAGCCCACGAAGGTAATCACTATCCTCACATATACAACTCGATTTATTTTGATATTTTGAATCCTGTGTAACTACAGTACCCATTATTTTATGCCTAACTTCATTTTTTTTATTCTATTATACTTTAAGTTCTAGGGTACATGTGCAGAACGTGCAGGTTTGTTACACAGGTATACACGTGCCATGGTAGTTTGCTGCAACCATCAACCTGTCATCTACATTATGTATGTCTCCTAATGCTATCCCTTCCCCAGCCTCCACACCCTAAAAGGCCCTGGTGTGTGATGTTCCCTGCCCTGTGTCCAAGTGTTTTCATTGTTCAGTTCCCACCTATGAGTGAGAACATGCAGGTGTTTGATTTTCTGTCCTTGTGATAGTCTACTGAGAATGATGGTTTCCAGCTTCATCCATGTCCCTGCAAAGGATATGAACACATCCTTTTTTATGGCTGCATAGTATTCCATGGTGTATATGTGCCACATTTTCTTAATCCAGTCTATCATTGATGGACATTTGGGTTGGTTCCAAGTCTTTGCTATTGTGAATAGTGCCACAATAAACATACGTGTGCATGTGTCTTTATAGTAGGGTTCAATCAGTTGAACCCTCATTGACATGAAAGCCAGGACTGAGGTAACAGCATCACCTGGTGACAGCATACTTTAAGTTTTTAAGGTTGGAACAATAAAGCTCTAAACTTGAATCACAGTATACTGTGAAAGAGCCCTAGCATTCCAGGAACTCTGATTCCTTAACTAAAATAGAGTCTCAGTTTGCCCTCAGCACCATATCTACTCAATATTTCATGAAAAATTCAGATACTGTACAAAGAAGTCAGTGACTTTGAAAAGACTTTATTGATCAAAGAGTTGCTTCTAAGGATGAGTAATGGTCTGTCTTTTAACATAGGACAGAAAAGAATCCTATGAAGAAAAGATAAAAAGAACAGAAAAGACCCAGGTCCTAAATCCTCAGATGACAACATTACAGAGCTAAATCGAAATAAATGACAAAGTCAACCAGTTCCTTGGGTAATAAACTGGAGCAGGAACATGGAAGAGAATTAATGTGTGTGCAAATGAGGAGGTACTGGGGAATGGTGGGCTTGTATTTGCTAGGTTCATGGAGAAAATGAAGAAAAAGAAGGGTAGATTATAAAATCAGCTTTTCTGCTTCTCTGTGTTTCTGCCTTAGAGCTGACCAGTATAAATGATGGTTTTCTCCCTTTCATTGATATACCAGTGAGAAGAGACTGTCATAATGACATCAACCTAAATCTCAATTCTCAAAATCTGAATACCTTGGGATATCAGATTACCTTTGTACTTGGAGATATACATTATACAGATGATATACTTCCCTTGATCTCCACCAAAATAAATCAACTGGTAGAGATTTCAAAGAATCTCAACTTTTACGCCCACCAATAGTCACTAACAAGTAATCCAGGTACACCCTTGCTTGCCACATAAAAGTTCTCCTGAGAAATGAGGAAAGACTCTATCAGCACTAATTCTAATTCTCATTAATATTGTCCTTTAAAATTCAAACAAACTAGTTGAATTTTCTAATCTCTTTTGATTCTACAACTTCCTTTTGAATTAGGAAAAATAGATATTATACTGCAATTTTAAAGACAAAGTCAGTAAAGTGGAAAAGGAAGAAAATTTAAAATGTATCCTCTGCTTATTTTGTCTCATGTATATTCAAGGTCCTGTTCATACTTTATTTTATTTATTTTTATCATAGGCCTATGATAAAGGTACAATCAAGACAATCAATAAATGCAATGATTATGACACCCTCCCATATCTAATTTAAAATAAAATATAGTCCAAATGATATCAAATATATGTATATGATTACATTAAGATAGAGTCTATCTAAGTGTTTTAACTGTAATGCCCTAGTAAGTAAAGTTTTCTTATGGTTTAATTGGGTTACCTCGGTTTTGATAGTCCTTTTTCTGGCACCCTAAGGATGTGCCAGGAAGAGTCTCTGAGAGAATAAGTAACTTACCCAAGGTCAAACACACTGTTATCAAGGAAGCCAAGATTCAAACCTAATCCTGATCCAAAGCTCATGTTCTTCACTAAACACTACACTTTTCAAGGTCACATGATAATCGGATTTTCAAAGTCATGGTCAGTCACTTTATCCATAGTCAGTGGAATCTTAATTTATAAGTCTCTACAAAGTAGGCAAAAAAAATGTGAAGCCCTATAGTGATAAACATACCATCAGATTAGTCAAATCTAACACCATTTCCTCTATGAGTACAAAAGACTGAGCACACGCTCTTGAATCTGTCTGGTCTTGATCCCATAAATGATGGGGTTCAGCGTGGGAGGAGCCAACATGCAGACATTAGCCAGCAGAATGTGTGTATGGAGAGGAACATGGTGCCCAAACTGCTGGGTAATTATAGTAAAAATACCAGGCAAGTAGAACATGGAAATGACTCCGAGGTGGGAGCCACACGTGCCCAGAGCCTTTAGCTGAGCTCCTTGGGAGGGGAGGTGGAAGACTGTATAGAGGATGAAGCTATAGGACACTAAGATGAGCAAGGCATCTAGCACTACAGTATAGAGAAGGACAGACAAGCCATACCAAACATTGACACGAATATCAGCACAAGCAAACTTGGCAACAGCCATGTGCTCACAGTAGGTATGCGGCAGCAGATCGTTACGGCAGAAAGGCAGCCACTTTGCCAGAAACACATCTGTGATTATCACACAGAAGCTTCTCAGGACCACAGCCAAGCCAATCTTTATGATTGTTGCACGACTGAGCACTGTGGTATAGTGCAGTGGGTAACATATGGCCACGTAGCAGTCAAGTACCATCACCAACAGAATTCCTGATTCTGCAATGAAGGTAGCATGGATGAAGAAGATTTGGGTAACACAGCCATCAACGGATATTGCCCCAGCATAGAACCAGGATATGGCTAGGGCCTTGGGCACAGGCCAAGGATGAGGTCAGCCGCAGCCAGCACGCAGAGGAAAAGGTACATGGGTTCATGGAGGGTGCGTTCAGTGATGATGATGAAGATGATGAGGCTGTTCCCAAGGAAAGCAACAAAGTAGGAAATAAAGAAGGGGAGAGAGATCCATGTGTGCTGGTCTTCTAAGCCAGGAATGCCCAGCACAATGAAGAGTGAGTGGCTGCTACCAGTGGAGTTGTGGGTTTCCATGCCCAGGGAAGGTAACCTGTGCATTGGTATGTAGGATTTGGCAGTCACCTCTTCTTTTTTCCCAAGAAGCTGAATGAGGTTGGAGTAGGGAAAGAGGGAACAGATTATTTTTCACTGGATGGAGCAGTGAAAAGGGTCCTGTTCAAGAAGTCAGGGAATGTGGGCTAAAATTCTTTGCCATTCTATTCATCAACTATGTGATGTCAATAAAATTACTTCCCTGTTCTGGGTGTCTCTTTTATTACCTAAAACTAAAGTTAGGGAGAGAATGGATTACATTATTTGTAAAAGAGGACTTTTTGGTTCTAGAATTCCATAGATCTCAGTCTCAGGTTGTTATAAATGGTTAGGAGCTGCGAATAATAAGCATTTCAATTTCCACTTTGAACACCAGAATGCGACGTGCATCTCAAAAGGAAAGTGGCAACTGAATTACCTATCAATTTAACAAGACTTACTGAGTATGTGCCAGGCACGGTTTCTTGAAGACCTACTTGGGGCAGTCAGACAATCAGGCAACTTGTCTACCCATCTAATATGTACACTGTAGAAGAAAAGCTAAGCACAGGGAGCTGTGGAAAGAGGAAGAACTCCGTAGAGGTTCGGAAAAGGCTTTCTAGAGTGCTGCCTTGAAGAATAAGTAAGAGTTCGCCAAGTAAGGAAATGTGATGAGGGAAGAACTTGAATGAAGTCATAGAGATCTGAAAAGACATAGAGTTTGGAGGAAAATTATAATGATGAAGGGTGAGTGCAAAGAGGACATGAGAGGCATAATAAAATTGTAGAAAGTAATGCAGGGGAGTGAGGTAGGGGCCAAATCATTGGGAGATTTGAGTCCTAC